GCAAGCAAGCAAGCAAGCAAGCAATTGAAAGATGACCAATCGCGACGGCAGTATTCACGACACTTGCAAGAACATTGAACCCCCCCCAAGCTACAAGCTGATGACATTATTCTCAGGCCGCCAACAGAACATCAGCACAGGAAAGACAGCAAGTGCTGCGTTGAGATACGCCTAGCGTGAAGGCTTCGAGAACAGCGTTTCCTTATCCTTCTACTTATCGCATCTTCCATGTGGTACTGCTACCCAAAACCCCAAACCCTGAACCCCAACACCCCAAAACCCCGAAACCCCTGAACCCCTGAACCCCAAAAACCCAAGCCCTAAACCTGCAGCAGAATCAGGCAATGTGCTTTCTCGCGCCTTGTATGTCAGCTCATTGCCAATTCCTTCCAGCTCTGCCGGCCTCACTGGACGAAGGCAATCTGAAAGATAAGATTTATGAAAGCATTAGGGTTTAATTTAGGGGTTAAGGTTTAGGGTTTAGGGTTTAGGGTATGGTAGGCATAATATCGAATCGCCAGGACTAGCTAAGATGGCTGCTATAAGACTCCGCGGTTCCTGGATGGCGAATTCAGGGTTTTGGACGCAGCCTATGAAGGGTTCAGGGTATGCACGTATACATACACATGCATCTATGTATATCTGTAGTGGCTCATTATGCAAAACACTCGCAGACACACACAAACACCAACAGAGTCAACAAGTAATGCTAGACAAAATTGTCGCGAATAAATAGAAACAGCAGTAGCAGAGTGGTAAACAAAAATAGTTAGTGCTAGTACCAATATCGAACCTGAAACAAGTTTGGTCTCAATGGCCGGAAAACACTGACCCTAAGTCCCTGATTAAACCTTATAAACCGTAAACCCTAAACTGTGAGTCTATGCCTTCTGCACAATCCGTCCGAGTGGCGGTGGGACCCGGGAGGACAGCAGCAAACTCAGCGGGGAGGGCGCCGAGCAGTCGTACCTTCCAACGGGTTCTGTAGGGGTTCAAGGGTTTAGGGTTTAACCCCAAACCCTAAACCCTAAAACCCTAAACCCTAAAACCCTAAAACCCTAAAGCCCTAAAACCCTAAAACCCCAAACCCCTCAAGCGTGGAGCTTTGGCTCCCTTCTCAAAGGGCTTCAAGGCTCTGGGAATTTCTGCGGGCTCCTTTGAGGGTTTCACGCTGCTCTGGGCCCTTAGCTTAGGACTTTCTATGGTGTTCTGCTCATTTTGTCGGGTTTGTTTATGGCTCAAGACCAGATTGCACTTGAAGCTCTTGCTGAGGGTTGAGGGCTTAGGCAGAAACCACTTCCGTGTCTGGGCATCAAAAGAACCCTAACCTGAATTTCAGAAGAGGGTTTTAGGGTTTAGGGTTTAGGAGTTTAGGGGGTTTGGGGTTTATGCTATGGTGAGACCCCTGTAGCACTCAGGCCCGGCAAGGATTGTAGGGGAGTAAAATCAGGGGTTGCAAGCACTTAGGCCTCCACTCTACTTTCTACACCCCTGAACCCCTATAACCCTATGCACCCGAAGCCTTAAAGCCTTGTTTTGCTGAACCCTACAGCCTATGCACCCGAAGCCCTGAGCCCTTGTTATGCTCCTTAAACACCCAGCTAAGCCTCGCAGTTGTGACCTCGGAACGACGATTGGTCGCTGATTCCCTAAACTCCTCGAGGCCCCGCCTTTCAGATCGCCCCCCCGCCCGCACCGCACAGCGCCGCAACACGTTCAGATCTGAGCCCAGGGGCAAACTAGCGTCAAATCCTGCGCACCCCATTTCAGGCTTATTGTAGCAATATCGGACCTCTATAGACACGTAGGGATTTGGTTCGCGTTGTGGAACAAAGCGGTCTGCCAAACAAATCAAACTTCTCTACATAGACATACATTAACCTATTATTGACCGTCCCCCATTGCCTACACATTAGCCTACACTGACCTACTATAAGGGCCTAAGTACTTCGAATAAGGCTTCGGTGGACAGTATTACTAAACTCTGACAAGTAAGAACAACAAGGGGACAAGGTTTGTTTTGGGTCCCCTGAATGGATCCCCAACAAAGAAGGCGCGCTCTTGCATCATGAGGATCCCCAAAGCGACTCTAAGTTACAGAACCTTGCATATATACATTGATGGAGGCGCACCAGGACTCTGGCACCACGTCTCTGCCCAACTGCAGAGATCTGACCTCTCGGTCCGTAACGATCCATGGAGTTGCATGGAACTCTTTTGCATACTGAAAAATATGTGTAGATAGATAGATAGATAGATAGATAGATAGATAGATAGATATATATATATATGTATGTATATATAGAAGGAGTAAGCAAGGGGGCGAGTTCCTCCACGGGGGATACCACGCAGTTGGGGCCCTTGTCTGAGGGTTTTGAAGCTTTTGAGCGCTGTCATGTGTAAGATGGGCTGACAGCCTGAGTGTGAAATCTGGGGCTCTTGAACCCTAAACGCAAAACCCCAAAACCCCTGAACCCTAAACCGAACCCCAAACTCTCAATGAACCCTGATCCCCAGAAACTAAGCTCTACGCCCAAGCCAGCCCTCGAGCCGTCAACCCCAAACCCCAAGCCCTAAACTGTCTCTGCCTCTCTCCGAGCACATCCTAAATTTGTATGTGTGTGTATGTGTTTTCGCATTTTGTATTTTTAGACACACACACACACACACACACACGGACGCATGCGCCCCCCAAACTGAACCTCCTGCCCTCCTGCTTTGGCCAGCTCACCACCCTAAACCCCTCTGACAGCTGCCCAAACCCCAAACCCGAGAACCCAAAAACCCAACACCCAAAAACCTTACACCCCAAAACCTGAACCCAAAAACCCTAAACCCTACAGCCAAAATTCCAAACCCTTGCACATCCAAATCCCTCAGCAGCCGGGGAAAGCCCCCTTAAAGGAGCCCCATAGCTCTCCTTAAAGGAACCCCTATAACCCCCCATAAAGGAGCCGTAAGACTCCCCTTAAAGGAGCCCCTATAACTCCCCTCAAAGGAGGAGCCCCTATAACTCCCCTTAAAGGAGCCCTATAACTCCCCTTAGAGGAGCCCTATAGGCCCTATGACTCCCCCCCCTATAACTCCCCTTACAGGAGCCCTATGGCTCCCCCAAAAAGGATTCCTATGACTCCCCCCACACCCCGCGCCTCACAAGAACCACCGCTTCCCAGGCTGAAGCCTTCGGGTGCCTTTCTCGGGGCTTCTGAGGCTTGGAGTGGTTTTCAGGGTTTAGGGCTTGGGGGTTTGGGGTTTTAGGCTTTGGGGTTGAGGGTTTTAGGGTTCAGGGTTTAGTGTTTGGGGTTTAGGTTTTAGGGTTTAGGGTTCAGGGTTCGGGGTTCGGGGTTTAGGGTTTAAGGGTATTTGGTTCGAGGTTTAGTTCGGGATCTCGGGGTTTCAAGTTTTAGGGCAGTTTCAGGCTTAGGGACTTCGGGTTGAGGGGTTCGAGGGGCCTAAATAATTACCAAGACTATTTTGGGGGGTTCACTGTTCTACTTGTAGTATAATGGGCCCCAAAACCCGACTCTAATTATTCAGGCCCCTATATCAAGGCTAAGGTGGGCTGTGGGAGGCTTGAACAAGAATACGATAGGGCTCTGTGTGGTCTTCGGCAATGCTTCGTAGTTGCCGCGAGGTTTAAGGTCAGGGTTTCGGGGTGTTCACAGTTCAGGCTCCGGAGGTTTAGGGCGTAAGGGATTGAGCCTGCAAGGCTTCTGGGAACTCTGCTTCGGGCTTCGACTCGAACGTTTGAAGCCCTCAGAAAAACCACGTACACCCCGATAATTTCAGACCACAACACCCCAGGACCTCCGAGCCACAAACTCCAAAACCCAAAGGCCCCAAGAACCCGAAAGGACCAGCCCGACGAGGCTTCTGGGGATAGCTTTGGATTGGTGGCCCGAACTGTCTTGAAGCTGTGTGTAACCTAGCATCGGCTGTGGGCTTTGAACTTCATCCGTTTCGGGATATTGTTCCGCCAACGCCCTCCCTTGCCTTTTTTCTGGGTCTTGGTGAAGGAGCTTCGAGTTTAGGGCTTAAGGCGTAGTAGGGTCATGTAAGTTGCAGTAATCAGAAACTGGAAAACCTCCCCCTAAGCCCTAAATCTGAAAAGCTCTTTCAATCACTGGAGGTAAAAGTATAAACCTACATAGCTGAAGCCCGAAACCTGTCATTATATTTCCCTTATGAGCACCCAAGCTACAGCCCCATGATAAACCCTTATAAACACCAACCTCAAACCCTAAAACAGTCCTCAACGACGTATAGGGGCCTTACTATTAATTTGAAACGTGGTTTTTGTGTATTGTTACGTTGGGGCACTCTGGGTAATGGTATCGGTACTTACTCAGGCTGATATATTCCCCGAACCCTAAGCCCTCAACCCTTAACCTATTTGTGTATGTTCTCATGATAAACTCTAACATAGAGTTTATAGGGGCCCTACAAGCCAATAGGTGTTGACAGCTCACGGTAAAAGCTGTGGATATAGGGGCCTTCGTAATTACCTATACCAGTTTGAGGGTTCCTTGATATAACTGTACCCCAAAACTTTATTCTAATTCTTAAGGCCCCCACGGTAAGCCCTTATAGAACCCTCATAATAAATGCTACAGTAACCCTTTAATTTGAAGCAACCCTATTCCAAGTATTATGGCCCCTATATTAAGAGAAGATTGTCTTGCTTTGGCTCTTCCTGGCCGGGCCTCGACCGCCACCTCCAAGCGCTGACCCAAGGAACCTCCAGGCAAACTCATGGCAATGCAGACAAGAGGGAAGGCTCCTCCTGGGTTCTGGGGTTTCGGGTTTAGGGCTTAGGGTTTAAGGTTTAGGGCTTAGCGTTTAGGGTTTAGGGCTTAGGGCTTAGGGTTCTTAAGGAATTGCTGTTGTTGTTGACTTGGGGTGTGGTATCTAGGGCCTAGTCGAGGGTTTTTTTTGGATCGTTCTACGAGGCTCACAGGCTTGCCTTTGGTCTGTAGGATTTTGGAAAGACCATCCGGGACGAATTCTGCAACTCCAATAGTAGCAATAACCACAAGGTGGCAAGACTAGTAGTAGTGATCACAGTAATATTAGCAATAGTAGCAATAACCCTAACTCCTCAGCCAAGGGCCTTGCCAACCTTGGACTACTGACCTCACATCCGTGGGACCAAGACTGCCCAGCACAAGCACTATACTGTAGAAGCTTAACAATCTAGTCATACTAGTATTCCCGTATAGTCCTTACCTAACTAACGTGTGATGCACCCCAACCAGCCCTATTCTGTGGATTCATGCCCTTGTAATTACTATCATCACCTTTGCCGATCTGAACTTTATCCTACACGTACCTTACAGCAAGAGCGCCAGAAATAGTAACTATGAAGGCCATACTTCTGCTCAGAGGACAGGTTCCGTGAGCCCCAAGCATCCGAAAACAGCTCTCTGACTTGTCCCGGCCTGGCGAAACGAAAGGGATCGCGAACTCCACTCGCAAGGACACCAGGGACGCACCACGGGGGAGCAAAAACGACCTCTGCAAGCTCAGAAGTAGCTTCGCGCTGCCGTTCATGAATGCGGGAGCTGCGATCCAAGAGGTAACCACCGCTTGCATGAGTTTGGACTCGAAAATCTCAACACAACACGTTGTTTATTATCCTTGCTGTTTTCCACACTTTTGGGTTTGCTTATCTGGCGTTGTTGTCGTTGTTGCAGCTGTTGCTGTTGCTGTTGCTGGTGCCGCTGGTGCTGGTGCTGGTGGCGGTGATCATAAACAAAGGTGCATTGCTAGCGTTTGTGGCAGCAAGGTCCGTCAGTTATACCTCGACTCCGGCTACAGATGGCCAACACATGTACTTACGAACACATTACTGGAGACACCGCCACATCACTTGTACCAGGTTATCGGTAATGCCAACAAACCATAAACCCTACACTCTAAATCCCACACCCTAGACCCTATGCGTGAAGCCTCCTTAAATTTCCAAGGCTCCGGATCCCCTTATGCCCGGCCACTGTGTGAGGTAGGCGTCGCCCAGCGCTCGGAAAGGATACACAGTCCTAAGGGCAGGTTTAGGGTTTTGAGGTTTATACGGGTTTCTTACATTTATTGCTATGATGGCCATTCCGGCCATTGGGATCATGACAATGATTACATGATATTACTATTATGACATATTTCTGCTATCTGGGGTTTAAGGCTGTTGGGGGAAATCCCGGCGCTAATTGTCCTTAATCCGGTTTCCAGCTTTTTGGGGTCTACTTCAAGATAAAGATAGGGCTTGCAACAAATCCAAAAGAGAAAATCGGGGCCTTGATGATTAGAATGGGATTTGAGGGTATATTATTCTGTAAGACGTTGATAGCAAGGCACCCTGAGGAAGCGAATTAATAATTCTTCGACCCCTATACTGTGGGAGTCTCTGGGCACTTTCGCCAAGTCGCGCTTCCTGCAACTTCGGTACGAGGGGGAAGCCTGCAGAAGCTGATGGGCAGTTCTCGAAACTAGGGTCCCCTTTTCAGGTCCCCAATATATAGTACGGTATCCTGAAAAAAAGCACCTGAAGGGGACTCTCCGCCCCCTTAGGAACCAAGAGTGAGTGCATCAAGTGCCAAGAACAAGAAGCGAGACTTGACAACAGGGTGTTGTTGTTTTAACTCAGCATTGGGGCTCATAAACAGAAATCATGCACGACCCGCCGAGAAAGAAGGACCAAACACTTGCCCCAAAGACTCTCGCTGAGGATTCCTGACACTAAGGTGCCGTCTCATGACGGCCTCATTTAGACAACCCCCATTGTGGCTTCCAGACCCCTGTTTCTCCCCAGCCGGGTCCTTGGTAAGGAAGTTATCGAAATACGGCAACCATATCGTTTACTATAGATCCCTATTGTGGTAACTTAATCACGTCCCTGCCTTCCCTTCCCCTACACCCTAAATCTGAAGAAGAGCCCTATGATCCCTGTTATGGTAACTAAAAATACATCCCTTAAGAAGAGGCCAGGCCCTCCTTGTCCATCTCCAACGTAGAGGAGGCGTTGCGCAGCCACCGATTGGACCCAGACCTTCGCCACGAGACTCTCGATCCGATCTCGGGCTTCGGGGTGCCAGGCTGTTAAACTCAACGGTTTAGGGTTTAGGGGTTATAGAGTTTACGGGTTTAGAGTTTAGGGTTTAGGGCATCATCATATAAATGTTTGAAGGATTAACAATACTATTTTTTCGGGTTCAGTAGCATATGCATACTAATTATAATGATCTATAATGCATCCCAAAACCCTGTTCTAATTATGCAGGCCCCGATTTGCAATCCGAAGACCTCGAAAGCCTCAACACCCAGAGGACCGAGGCCAAACTCGCATGCTTCAACCTGCGCCAAACTCATTGCCCAGCTCTTTAAGGTTTAGGGTTCAGGTGTAATGTCTTAGGGTTTAGGGTTTAGAGCTGAGGATTTTAGGGCCTTAGGGTTTAGGGGCCTGAATAAATATAACAGGGTTTCGAGGTTTCCTGCAAGTGTTGGTTGAAGGACTCCTTAAAGAATACTAGTGGGTTCGGGTTCCTATAAGGGTTCTAATTGTAACTGTACGGGTGCAGTATCGGGGTGTGAATGCCACTACCGTCTTGTTGCTCTCAACACACACACACACACATGCACGAAAACTCTAACCCTCCTCACACCGCAAGCCCAGCTAGGTACGCAAAAACGTAAGCCTCAAGCCCGAAAGGAGCCCTCCCTAAAATCCTTCTCCAACGCCAGGCCCATAAGGAGTCCAAATTAAACCCTACTTAAGCCCAAACTTCCCCCCCCCCCTTCCGAACTTCCGAAACCCCAAGTCCAGACTTCCCGGAGGCTACCAACGCAACCCTCCCTTCGTAATGCTCTTCTCACAAGGCAAAATGCCCGTGGACCTCAGTATAGAACATAGGGATGACCTATATGTATATGTATATATGTATATATATATATATATATTATATATATATATACACACATAATATCTCTATTTATTTACCTATGTATTCATTTTTCGACTTATTTACGTTTATTTATGAACTATACATATATAGATATGTTTGTTTATTTAACATTTTGTTACATCTACACACATGCATATGTGGCTCCTGTGTTCTGTGCTAAGCCCTTTAAGGCATGAAACACTTCAAACTACGAGACAAGGCAAAAAAAAACGAGGCCTCCGAGCTTACCCCCCTCTAAACTACTACTCGTAACCATTATACAGTAACTACTACACAGAACCCTTGCATTCAAGAGCCCTTCAAAAAAGCCTTTTTACATACTGTTGATGATATAAACCCTGCATTACGTGAAGGACCCTAAACTATGGGAATCATGCTATATTCCTCATTATGGGTAGTGCAGGATTTAGATCAACAACAACCCTAAACCCTAAACCCTGAACCCTAAACCCTGAATCTTGAACCCCAAACCCTACGCCCTAAAACCCTAATACCCTAAACCGTATGAAGGCCCCTATCAATACGATCCTCCCCCCGTTAGATCGAAGCACGTTTGAAAGGTCTTTGGCTGGAAAAGTCCCGCAAGTCAGGTAGGGACAGAAGGCTTAGGGCTTAGGGTATTGAGTTTAGGGTTCAGGGTGTAGGGTGTTGAGTTTAGGGTTTGCAGGGTTTAGGGTTTAGGGCTTAGGGTGTTGCGTGTAGAGGCCTAGGGGCGTGCCGGGTTCGGGCATACGGTCGCAGATCTTGGGCAGGGGTTGTTGTCAAAGTATACTGCCTCGGGAGGCCTAAATCATTACCAATACTATTTTGGAGGTTCCCTATTATAGTTAGTTATAGTTATAGTGTGATGGGCCCCAAAGCCTTTTGCGAATTGTTAAGGCCCCTATATTACTACCTCGGGAGGCCTAAATCCTGAAACTCCCAAACCGCCTCGAGATTCCAGATGTTCTGCTCACCTCAGCCACAGCTCAAGCACCATTGGGTGTTTGTACACAGCGCTTCCAGTGATTCTAGCAGTGTGACAGGGCGCCACTGCGTTCACATATATTAATCTACAAGTTTGAATGAATGAGAGCAAGGGCGACTTCCGACTGAAACCCGCGAGAGAACCCGAAGCCCAGAACCTTGGGATCGGGGCATGTCCCCGCGCTCTAGAACCCCTACAGAACCATAAGACGCTGTTAAGAAAAACTTACAGAACCCCTCAACAAACCCCGAACCCCGCTTTGAAGAGTAAAACCCTAAACAAAACAAGCTTACCGAACCCCTCAGCAAAACACCCGGAGGATCGCCAAGATTTGGCCCCGGGGCTGGGCGGCTCAACGACGGGGCTCTGGGCCGTCACCGCGAAGGCGTAGCTGCGCTGGCCTGTATGGGTCATCATGTTCGTTCATGAGGGTTGTGGGCTCATCATGTGCGCTCAGAGCAATCTTTCGACCGGTACCGTAGGGTTTAACCTTGTGATGAGAGCCCCCGCCCGTAAGACCACGATTCACCCTCCAAGGATCAGCCTGAAATCTGTCTGACCCCTCGGAACATGCTCGAGATCCTAGACCCTAGTAACACAGGGGCTGTGCTGATTGGAATAGCGTCTTGGGGTGCATGAGAACTGTATAGGAAAAGAGGGAATGATGTTACCGACAATTCAGCCTTCTAGATTGCTTGGGCTGAGGATTTAGGGTTCAGGGGTTTTAGGGTTCGTCATGGGGCAGTACCCGGAAAGCACCCAAGCCGTTCGGTGTCAAGACCGTGGACGATAGACCTGTTAAACCTCCTAGTTCCTCTTCAAAACCAAAAAATCGGCATGTAGATCCCTGGTCACAACACCCGCTCCTCCTCCCTGGCATACGGCTCATACCATGTGATCCTAAGCCTCTAAACAAAAGGAACAGAAAGGTTCAATCATCAGAGATCTCGATCAAAGTACCTACGTAAACCCTAACCCTCACTAAAGTCACCAAAGCCCTAGCGCCCAACCCTAACCTAAACCCTTATTGAATCTCGGCACAATAAACCTGGAGGCGAAAATCTACACCCTTCAGAACCCCAAAAGCCCCGGTTCTGCGTGGCAAGGCCTTTCAGCGCGCCCGGCAGCGTGATGCGGATCTCGGGGCCTCCGCCCGGAGTCGACGCGAGGGAGCAGCCTCAGGGAGGGACTCTGAAGGCTTTTCAGGTTGTAAAGAGAAGAAGCCAAAAAGGTGGAACATGATTACGTTCATGCCCTTTAAAGTAGAATATAGGGAATCCCAGCAGGAATCATCCTAGATCAATGTTCCAACTGTCTGGGGTTCACTATAAGGGTGTGAACAGGGTTCGATGATGCATTGAATTTGACTTAGGGTGTACAATGAGATCCCTATATGGGGGGATGCTGCTTCTTGGGACATAGAATGAGGTGAAAACTAGTTCTGCTTATATGCGATCGTCTTCCACTTACATTCTGACATAACCCACCGCCCTCTAAACCCTAAACCACCCCCAACGCCCACCCACACGAAGCACATACTCAGGCCCTTGCTGGCCAAAGGCGGCAGCGGAATCGCCATCTGCGGCCACGGCGCATCGTCTCCAGATCATGATGGGTTGCTGAGACTAGAACTGTGCGATTTTTCGGGTTTAAGACAAGTTTTAGCAAGCGGAGGCTCTTTATGCAGGAAGCTGTAAGAACCCCAAATAAATATAAACCTATGACACCCTTAAGAACCTGCAAAACTCTACAAGGACCCCTAAGATTGCGGGTGCTTTGGCCCTTGCAGACCCTATAAACCCAAAGCCCTGGCCCCGAAGCCTTATGCCCGAAACCCCAAACCTCAAGTCCTAAACCCTAAACCCTAAGCCCTAAACCCTAAACCCGAAGCCCTAAACCCCAAAGCCCTAAACCCTAACGTCCCTAAACCCCGAAAAGCCCGAAACCACAAAGAAGCCCCAGGTCGGATGAGCCTTGGACCTCCGCCCAGGCCCGAGGCAACGCGGCGAGGAGCGCGGTGGGCAGCGCAGATCGGCCCTCCTTTTCGGGCACTTTAGGCGGTTCAGGGTTTAGGGTTCAGGGGTTTAGGGTTTAGGGTTTAGGGTTGAAGTCAGGGATTGGGGTTTTCGGGTTCAGAGTTTTGGGGGTTTACTGCATGGAGTTTAGGGGCTTAAGGCTTAAGATTTTGGGCTGCTTTGAGAGTGGGAGGGTAAGTGTTTTTGTTTGGCTTGTAGGGTTTTGAGTTGCAGGGCTTTAAAATTAGGGACTGAGGGGTTTGGGTTTACCCTTGCACCCCAAACACTTTGGGAACGGTTCTGTGGATGCCTGCTCTTCGATGCACTTCTCTTGTGCTCGAACGAAGCCACCAAAGCACCCTCCCTCAAACCAACATGGAATCTGAAAACGGGCCCAGTACGGACTACTGTCATATTTAGAACCCCCAAAGAACCCTGTGCAACCCAGAGACACCGTTACTGGGGAATCCTTGAATAGTTCTTAAGGCCGTTAGATTAAGACTCTACAGATATAAACCCCTCAAGAACCCAAACCCGCAACCCTGTTTGGGATGACCGCAACGGATGACTTTGCAAGCCTTCTGCCAGGATACCCAAGAATGGAAGCCTAGCGAACAGGGTGTCTTATGGGGTTCAATAAATGTGAAGGGTTTGGGGCTTGCTTGTAGGGCCCACTACCATTCTCGCGTGTTGAACCACTCTGTCCCCAAAGGAAGCCTCATTTTGGAACAAGACCCAAGTCAGCACTCAAGCATCGTGCAAACTGTGAAGCAAGGAAAAAAAGCTTTTACCATCAAGCCTGAATCCTAAATCCAAATTGCCCATAACCCTAAACCATGCACCCTCAACCCTCCCCTAACCTAAGTCTTATGCCGCCGCTGTTCGCTCCTCGTTGGCTGCCTCGAAGTGTTCGCACGTGTTGTTCGATGGAAGGAGAAAAGCCGAGGGTGGGCGGAGGTGCCTGGAAAGGCAGGGCACGTGGGGGTCTGCGGCTTGTCACCAGGGCCTAAACCGTTCATGGACTTTTGTGATGAGGAGCGGTGCCTCAGTGTTCTCTGGATTTCAGGAAGCCCGATACGAACAACTACGAAAGATCATGGATCCTCCTCCCTCTCTTTTCTTTTCTCTCTCTCGCTCTCTCTCTCTCTCTATCTCTCTCTCTCTCTCCTCTGTCTGTCTATTACATGTATATGCACCCATACACACGTATGCACCCATGCATGCATATCCAAATATGTACGCACGTACAGTTACATATATATATATATATACGTACACATAAATATAAATATAAAGGTCTACGCTTGAACTAAGGTTGCGCCGGTAAGCCATATCAGGCAGATCAAGAACTTCGGCAAATCAGGGTGTGTTGAAAACCTCCCTTCTCCACACCCTCGCCCTTTCACACTGAATCCTAAACCCTTAACCCCTAAACCCCAAACCCCAAAACCCCTAAACCCTTAACCCCTAAACCCTATAATCTAGCCTATTCCCCGAAACCTTAAAGAGCTGAGGCGCAATTCGGTTGAGGCCAACAGCGGCGTGTCGGAGGCAAAGATCACCAGCACAGCCGCAGTCTTAGATAGGACATGGCTTGGGGTTAAAAGATTGGGTGTATCTTCTGCAGCTGTCTGAATATTGCTTTTTGGGCTTTGGGCCTTGCAACCGGCACATCAGTCACGTAAACGTCTATGCTGGGTTTGACAATAAGGATGTTTGTAAGGGGGCCTTAGCTACTGAACTAGGGTTTTGGAGGCAGTTTCTCATATCATTGTAAGGGGACTATACAGAGATTCTATTGCGAATCTTGCAGACCTCGTTCCTAGGCGTCGGACTGTAGCGGAATTGCGAGAGCCCAAATGACAAGCATCTCACACGAAACGCAAACCTTGTCCTGCCACAAACCACTAGAAGCACCCCGCCCTGACTGACAATCCCTTTCCCCTTGATAGGGATTATAGTAGGGATCCTATCATACTAAAGCGTGTACAGAATGGGGGCTCTTGAATCGGCAGCATACATTGTAGTTTTGAACTACCTTCCCAAGGATTCAACCATCCTAGCAACTATCACAAGCCCCATTATTGCTCCAATGGCTTTGGGCTATCGAAGAAAAACACGTTATACAAACCCTACGCAATCCAATACGCTTCGCTGACTCTTCACAACCCTATGAAGAATCTTCAAAACACCCCAGTTCAAAACTTAGAGAACCCAAACTAAAGAACCACAACAAAGCCTACGATGACCCGAATATCGACGCCCGGCTGCACGGTCCGCGAGCGGCCGCGCAGGCTCCGTCCGCAGCGCCAGGAACCTGGGCTAAGGTATGTAGGGCTTTGCGTTTACCTGGGGGGTCTCGGGTTTAGGGTGTAGGGTTTAGGGTTTACCTGAACCCTAAGTAACTTGATTACCTTTGTAGGGCTCCTTCTTGCGCTTTCCTTATAAACGTCATTGACAAGGTAGGTTGTCTACGGTCCAGGTGCGGATAAGGTTCGAGCATTCTCTAACTCAGCCGAATACTTCGGAATCGAAAATCTAGCCACCCACCCTTAACAAGAAGTACTATTGGATCCCATCACATGAAGCAAACATCTTAATTCATTTAAGGCAAACCCAGCTGTCAAACTAACATGCATAACAACTAGTCTTCATAGTCTACTGGCAAATAGCATCCTTCTAGCAAGACAGCGCGACGTTGGCACTTTTTGTAGTACAAGGAATGGACTGGTTAACCGCACCCTGAAACAAGAAATGGATGTGTTAACCGCGTTTGCTCGTGCTGTTGTCTTGGGAGTTTGCCACCGGCAGACAGCAATGCTGCTTCTTTCTGTAGTTACGGGCCTAGTACACGGAATCGATTTGCGAAGCATGCCCCGACACAGCTCAACTTGCTAGGTACCAGGAATGGTTGAGGCGAGGCCTTGCTAGGTTCAAGCTGGTCCACAACAAATGGTCGAACCGAACACTCGTCAGGTTCAAGCTTGTCCACGACAAGGGGTTACATTTGCTGGATTCAAGCTTCTCCTCAAACGAAGTCGAAGAGAAAACTTGCTGGGTTCAAGCTTGTGAACAAGAAAGGTTAAACGGAACCTTTTTGGGCTCTTGTCCACGCCAGGCCAGGTGTGCAATCACCGGGAAAGTGATGAGTATCTTAACTCTAAACCCTATAAACCCGAAGTGGGCCACCCTTCCCTGGAAGTTTCTGGGAGACGAAGCTCCTAAAGATGGTCTCGAGCATGGGCTCGTCCTCTTTGAAGTAGGCCGGCCTCCAGGCATTCTGTACGTACAGTGCAAAGGGCCGGCGGTTGTGCCGGGCGCAGGTCTCGAGCAGCTGGGCTTTGGCGCGCATGGCAAAGGCCTTGGTGCACTTGGACACCAGGTCTGACTCGTCGGCGAGGCGAACCTCTAGAAAGGAGGTCACGGGGATGTGGCCCAGCGTGGCCTCCAGGAAGTGCACGTACTCCTGCGCCGTCTGCTCGCCGTGCTTGCAGAGCTTGACGGCGATGCCGCAGAAGGTCGGGTCGTAGTCGCACCCGCGCGCCATCTCGACCACCTGGGAGACCTGCTGCTGCTCCTGCAGGGCCTGCACCGCTTGCTGCATCTGCTGCTGACGGACATCCTGTTTGTTGACGGTCTCTGTCATTGCAGTTTGGTTGGCCAGCATTGTGGTCAAGAAGCCTTGAATGCTAGTCATGGCTTCTTCCTGCAGGCTCATGCGCCGGTCCTGCATAGACAGCAGTTGGCTCTGCTGCACAATTATCTGCTGCTGGTTTGCCACTTGCTGCTCCAGGCACCGGCGCTTGGCCAAGGGCAGCTCACCGCACTCGGCCTCTCCACGCTCCACTTCCAGGCCGAAGGCACGGCGCCAGTCGTTTGGATCCGTCTCGGCCAGGTGCTCCTGGATGCGGCGATTGGCACGAATTTCGTCGATGAGCGCGAGATCGCCGCCGAGGAAGCGTACCAGTAGTTCTATATGGTCTTCAAGTGCACGCGGGCCGCCAGTTGGCCCGGCAATAGCATGATGTACTCGAGCGCCTGCTTCAGGCTGCCGCACAAAAGTGGCTCCGAAAGGCCTCGGCCATAAAGGCTGATTTGGGACAAATTCTGCGCCAGTTCCGGATAGCATTTCAAGACGTTTCTGACGTCTCGAGCTGCATCATGCGCACTTTTGCCAGTGGCCAGCCTGCCCATGTCTTGCAGAACGTACAGATTGGGATGCTCGCAGTCTGGCGGCGACATGCGAATTGCAGGCAGCTCTTGCTCGCCAAAAACCTTCTTTAGGTCCTCTGCGATGGGGCCCTGAAATTCCACCTTGACTGGCCGCAATTTCTGCTGTGCCATGGCTTCGTAGAAATGATTGCAGATAGCTGACAAGAGAGCTTAAAAACGGCTGCAAGAAATAGAGCACACTAATCACATGTCACACATACTCACCCATACAACATAGAGGTCACCACTGCCTTTTTCCATAAAATGCACAGACCTCTCGTGACCTACAGCTGTCCGGCCTCGACGGCTCGCACTGTGGCCCTGTTACGTCGCGTCGTCCACATTCGCAGAGGCAGTCTGCGGCAAGCAGCGTAAAGTGCTACGTCCCGGTGCTTCGTCTTGGATTCCGTCTCGCACTCCGTCTCGCACTTCGTCTCGCACTCCGTCTCGCACCCGGTCTTGCACTCTGGCTTGACGAAGCCCCTTCTGCTCGCCTGGCGTCGAGGCATCCATATGTGCAGCGGCAGCGCACATGCCAGCGTGCTGCAGGCGTACGAAGCCTTGGCCAAGTTCTCGCAGGGCCGCATCAAGTCTGGCAAGTCGGACAGCTGCTGCTCCATGTCGAAGGTGCCCTGCTTGAACTTCGTCTCCGGACCGAGGTCGTAGCCGCAGTGAGTCCAGTAAGCAGCCAAGCTGATCGGATTCTCTTCTTTGTAGGCTTGCAGCAGCGCTGGATAGGTGTAGCGCAGCCTCTGCCCATCTTTGGCTTCGAAGAACTCTCGCACCCTCAAAGGCAGCCCGTTCTTACGGTCCAAGTGGTGACGTTGCTCGTTTTGTGCTCCGCGCCGCAGGACTTCCTTCCAGACCTGGACGGCCAGCTGCCCCCGGTTTGCGGCGAGCTGCAGCACAGGTTCGTGCCGCAAGAGGGTGTCGGCCAGGAGGCTCAGGACATCCAGCTCTCCCGACGGGAGAAGGTAGTGCAAGAAAGGCCGCATGTCTCCCAGGGCCAATGCCGCGAGGCGCTCGGGCGGGAACTGCCCAAACATCGACCAGTTGTCGATGGCGGCAGCCACGGGAACGTGTGTGCAGAGCTTCGGGAGCGGGGCCGCAAAATTCAAGTTGGCTGCCGTGTGCAGAAACAGGATCAAAGCGGCCGGAAACTGCGCTCGGAGGCTTTCTGCCGCCAGGCTCTTGAACTCGTCGTTCCCGAATCCTGCCTGGCTGCCGCAGTCCATCTCATCGGGGCAGTTATAGTGTAACCCCGCGAGCACCACCACGCGGGGCGGTTGCACCCGCTCCTCTGCCCACTGGGAGCCGCAGGTGAAAAGATTCCATCCGCCGCGCATGCTGATGCCGTGTGCGGCGAGCCAGCTGGCATGGCGGCGGGCATCGTCCACGTAGCCAGGTGGATTTTTGGAGGCGAGTTCGACGGCTGCAGCATCGGCCACCTCTGCGAAGCACTGCAAGTCCGTCACCACGAAGGCATGCGCGCACTCCATGACCGACAGAAGACGCTGACAGGGGGTTTTTACGGCCGAGAGTTTGAACCTGAGCTGCAAACGGAGCTCATTCGGCGATCGATCCTGCACCGTCACGCAGCAGTGTCTCCTAGACTAACTCCGCTTTCCTCCTAGCATGCTCTGTATGCTACATCATTTGTGTCCTACCTGCCCGACTGCATCGCACGCATTCCGCTGTCATTTTTCTCCCCTAGCTCTGTGACTCTGCTTTTTCCTAGCATATTATAATCTCTGCCCGACTGCATCCTATCGCGCCTGCAGCCAACTCACTGAATTCGGGCTCCCAAGGCCCAAAACAAAAAAACAGATACCAAAAACCCTAGACCTTGAACCTGATACTGAGCCCGAAACCCTGGATGAAACCCTACACTAGGCCCTACACCCGAAACCCTACACTAAACCACAGACCCTGAACCCCGAAACTCCAAGGCGCGGCAGGCGGCCGCCCGCAAAGACGAAGCTGGGAGCAGTCCCGGCGTCAAGCCTGGAAACGAAGGCATTCGCCCTAAGTTTAGGGCTTAAGGATTATTAAGTAAAACCTTAACCTTACAGTGAGGGGTTAAGCTCCAACTGAGGGTTCGGATTTTCGCACAAGAAACCCATGGTCCGCTTCAAGGGCCTATCGTCAAGGGCTGAAAGTACTCAATACTAGGACACCTGGGTTGGGTATAGTAGTAGTGCAGGATGGCGTTTGGGGGAGTATATGTGACTAACAGGCAGTTATGAAGCACTTGCACACTTGCGATATAGAACATACCCAGGCTCTGCTCAGGAGCTTTGTTCAAGTTACCGCGAGAGGAATACTCAGTAAACAGTGCTTTAGCGGATTTTTTGCAGCTTAACCTGAATTTCTTACACTCTTGCAAAATCCCGGAATTTGCAAACGAATATACAGCTCTATGTCTTTCCTGTCCTTTCTGTACTCACAGAGCCCTGCTTAAAGGCGCGAAACCTTAAACCCTCAACCATAACCCAGCCCGGAGCCCGAAACCCTACTTCAATCATAAGAAGGAAGCCGAAACTTTCAGGTTCTTTCGTGCTTGACTTCAAGCCCTAAGCCCTAAACCCAAAATCCCTGAAGCCCCAGACTCATACCCTGAACCCTAAACCTAAAGCCCTAAACCCTAAACCCTAAACCCTAAACCCTAAACCCCAAACCCTAAACCCTGATGAGAACTTCTAGGACCGAAGACCGCGGCCGAAGGGCAGCTCCCCGGCGTTGAAGCTCTGAAGCTCAAAGGGCTGGGTGCTGTTTACCTGCACTGCGGCTTAGGGTTTAGGGTTCAGGGTTTGGGATTTAAGTCCGACGCCCCAAACCCTGAAGCCTCTAAGCCCTAAAACCCTAAACCCTAAAGGCCCCAAACCGTGAGCCCTAAACCCTAAACCGTTCAGGGGCTCAGGGGGATCTTCGGGTTCTCCTTGGGTTTGGTAAGGGCCGGTATCATACCGGCTTCTGTGGGGGATTCCGAAGTTGGGGGTTACCTTACTGGGGTCATTCTTACAAGGGGATCCTATGATTTGGGGTTCTATATTATATGGGCTTTATGAAGTTTCTAAACAGTCTAAAGAAAGTGGTATAGTATAGGGTGTAAGCTCTTAAGCACATTGAGGGATCCCACTTGGGGTGTTGGGTTTGGGGCCTTGTAGCAAAGAGGGGCTCTTTTGGATTTCAAGCCGTCGGTTCTCCGGGTTTCGGGTGCTTTGGAAAGGGCCTTATATGAAGCCAGAGACCCCTAAACCTCTCAAGTAAGATGTAGGGGCCTTAGTAATTAGAACAGGGCTTTGGG